CTCATTATAGACAAAGTTTCTCTCATATGATCATATGACTTGGAATCTCTCTTAATAATAATAATAATAATAATAATAATAATAATAATTATTATTATTATTATTATTACAATAAGTTATAAACTTATAGTTATAATTATAATTATAGATATAATTATAATCACAACTATAATTACAATTATAATTATAGGTATAACTATAATTATATTTAAAATCTAAATCTTTCTGATATGATGTGATCCGATTTGAATCTTTCTGATCTGATCCGAATCTTTCTGATCTGAATCTTTCTGATCTGATTGAATTTTTCTGGTTTGATCTGCTCTAAATAAAATAAGAATAAGCAATAAGTAATAAGAATAATACAAACAGAACAACTTGTAAATACTCCCTCCGTTTCGCAAACAAAGTCACACTTTCCTTTTTTGGATGTTTCAAAAACAAAGTCACACTTCCCTTATTTCCTTATTTGGTAAAGAAATACTTCAAAACAATGCCAAACAGTGCCAAACAATGTCTAAACAGTGCCAAATAGTTTCTAAATAGTGCCAAACAGTGTTTTCTAAAGTAAAGTCAATTTATTTCCTTAATCCTAGAGAAGTCAGACTGTGACTTTCTTTGTGAAACGGAGGGAGTATGTTTTACTTTTCAAAGATACTAATTATTTAGTCTTATTAAAAGACTAAATTAATTAAAAGTCAAAATAAGAGGGAAAAGGTCATATTTTAAGCATAAAACTATAATAATCCTGATGAATTTTATTATTATTGTAATCCTGTTTATGGAATTATCATATGCCCATATGACTATGGCTTCCTGAATCACAACTTCATGAAAATTTTGAAAGCTTTACATACAAAAGGTAACGTCAGGATCAGTAGAAATAAGGCTGAACACGACCGCATCTCTCGGCTTCCCTTTGAGAAGATAATACCTCCTCAAAACTCCTTCCCTTTTGAACCCAACCTTCTCCAAAACCCTCTGCGATCCAAAATTGTCGACGTCAACAAGCGCCTCCAGCCTTTCCAGCTCCGGCCACTCCACGAACACCGACGCCGCCGCCATCTTCACCGCCTTCGTTCCGATTCCCTTCCCCCAATACTTGGAGCCCAGCACATACCCGATCTCGGCCCTGCACCTTTCGTCCCCTGTAAATTGCGACACCGAGATTGAACCGGCAACCTTCCCGTCGACGCAGATCGCTCGGAACCACCGGTGCGTTAATATGTTGTTGCAGATGTACCGTTCGACGGATTCCTTGGATCTGAAAGTGTTCCAGGAGCAGAATTTGCTTACCTTTTCGTCTGATAAGCATTCCTGGTAGTACTCTTCCGCGTCCGAGAGATCCATGGGCCTCAAGGTCGGGCCGTTATCGCCGCCGTCTTTTTCCGGCCCTTCGCCGGCGGAGGTTAATTTGGGAGTTTGCTCTTCTACGGGATCGCAAAGCGACATCGCTATGGAGTGTTTGAAGGAGAAGGAATATAGAAATTGCAGAGAAGGAAAAGAAGAAACGGTTTCATTTTATGGTGGGAACTGGGAAGTGGGAAGGGAAGGAAGGCCTGGAATTTCACTCGGGTTGACTGCGTCTATATAGTCAATTCGTTGTTGACTTGGTCCCCAAACAATGTTTTTTTGCTGACATTTTAATACTCCCTCCGTAACTTAAAAATCTTCCCACTTTCCTTTTTCGTCCGTAACAAAAAAATCTTCCCATTTCTAAATCTTCCCATCATACCCTTAATAATTCTTAAAATAATACACTATTACAACTACTTTTTTTGGATTTATCATACATTCCACCATATTATTCCATTATTTTCCCATCATACCCTCAATAATTCATATCATCTTTCACTATTCTTAATCTACCTACTTTTGAAATGGGAAGATTTTAAAGTTACGGAGGGAGTATTTTATTCCTTATCGCCATCCATTTTAGATTGGATAAATATGGAGCATTACTCATTTATATAAGTCCATATATTGGTCAACATATTTGGTTATCAAGAGCCTTTCTTATAACCTCTACTTTCATTTAGCTCACCTAATTTTGTTTATGAAACACATAATCTTTTTGTTATTTTCCATCATTTGCAATGGAATCAAGGACTCACTATTTTTTTGGCTTAACAATATGATGAAATAAAACAAAATGACTTACTAAACTGTCCACGCTTTTTTGTTATGAAGTAGCAGTCAGTCTATGCAATTTTCGACGTGATTTTCACCATGAGTCATCCTGAAATAGTGTCTTTGTACATTAGTACAAAGGTGAGACTGCGTACATCCGACTCCCCTTACTCCACCGTAGGTGGGAACCTTTACGGCATTGGGGTAATGATGGTGATGGTGATGGTGGTGACATAATCTTTTGTTACTTTTTGGATTGAATTGGTCGAAATTGATGTTGTGCAATATTTTAACTACTTTTTATATAATTTGTTAAATATTTTATTAATAAAATATATTTTAAGTACAATAGTTTCATTATTCAGTAGATTTAACTAGTTCAGTCTTTGACAGCGTTTCATTAATTTCAGCAAACTCATCTTGTTCCGTCGATCAACGGAAGAGGTTGTTCTGGGGATTAGATCTCTTATAGATATTGAAAAAGCTTTTACCTTAAAGTTGTGACGGAAGTGGAAATTGTGTAATTTTGTATGGTCCTCTTTCATTCATGCAAGATACCTCATAAATAATAACTTCTAAAGTTACTGATTGCTCAATATGGAGAAGAATCTGCGGTATAAATGATATAGCATCATTTTTCAGCTCCTTGGATTCTGAATTGGAATTGTGGTTATTTGGAACCTTGAGCAGTTGAGCCTGATGGCCAGTTCTCTTTTTGCCTCTGCGTATAATTAAACTAGATAATGTGAAAATCCCACCTTCTATATGAGCCTGTAAAGAATACATGGAGTCTAACTACCATTATGAGCCCGTTTGGTGGGGATTTGTGACTTTATGGTTCTCTTTCATTCATGCAAGATACCCCATAAGTAGTGAGATGTCATGTGATATTAAGACAGAAATGACCGGAACTTTGGAGCATCTATTGGTCATAGCTCAGAAGATCAAGTTTATACCCAAAAAAAAGTGTGTCCTCATTCCTCAAAATTCAGGAGTATTTGCCATAACTTGCACTTGAGAGAAGGGTCTCATCTTATAAAACTAAATGGAAGGAATGACAAATAAGGATAAGTTTTGAACAGGTGTTTCATTCCAAAAAAACGTTAATTTGCTTTTCATTTTTGCTGGTGCGCAATTGGGGTGTTGGATTCTTCCGGCCGTCTCACTTGACTAATCCTCATATCCAATCATATGTTAATCAAGGAGATGGCCTATCACGATTCTTATACTACGTATAATGTTTAATTTTTTTCTGCAGAGGCCAGCATGCAGATTTTAGTTGTAAAATTCGGCTCAAGTGATATTTTCTGATTCCAGCTTTATCAACTTTCCTTTCCATTTCTCTAAAAACGTTTCGTCATTTTTTTTAAAGTAATGGATTTGTGACTATTTATTTCACTCATCTATATAGTATGGTATTTACCAATTCTATGAAAATCACACGTTTTAACAAGAACCGTGCTTAGTAACATTCAGAAGTCTAAATATCATAAGGGGTGAACTACATGATTATATAAACTGATAAGAAATAATTAAGAAATAAATAAAACATATGTAATTCATCTGATAATGCAGATTTTTGCAAGAATAAATCAGGTCTAAGCATCAAAATTTATTTTTATTAATTAGGAAACTCAAAGCAAGGAGCAAGAACAATAATCATTACACAACTATCATATACACACATTGCTACACATGGTGTGAGCATAAGTGAAATATGTTTTTTCTTTTCATTTCTAGCTTTCGTTCAAATTTCCTAACTTATTTATGATGATATATTTATTAGTTTGATATTATATTTTCATGTGTTACAGTTTAATGATGAAACCCAATGATGGTTAAATATATTTATATTTTCTAATGCTTAATTGATAACATACAAGAATCACACCAATATGCACTATCGATTCTTATATCGATTCTTCAAATAATTTTTAGAACCAAATTGATATTGAATTATGAATTCTTCAAATATGTCCTAATTTTTAGAACCAAATTGATAACATACAAGAATGACACCAATATAATTTTCTTTTTAATTTTTATTCAAATATATCTTGTATATCAGTATTCATGTATAATCTCTTTGTTCAATTAAATGCATACGAGCTCATCCGGGTACCCGCCTCTCGATCTCGTACAATTCCTGAACTGATTGGTCAATTCGTGATCTTGGATAAATAATTAGTCAATTCCGATATGATTCCGGAACCGAGTATAAGCGTACTCGTCAAGACAAAAGAAAAGATCCACGAATTTTTTTTTAGTAAGGAGAAGAAACTATTGTAGAGAATTAGAGCCTGTTTGGTAGCACGAAAATCGACTGTTTTGGCTGGTTCTGCTGAAATTTATGAAGTTCTGGCTGAAGTGGCTGCATTGGCTGATTCTGCTGATTTAAGAAAAAATTATTTTATAAATATATTTTATTAATAAAATAAAGAAAAACTTATATGTAAAAATAGCTAAAATAGTCATCTACAGTAACTTCAGCCAATACAACCAGAAAAGTAACTTCAACCTTACTTTTTCTACTTATTACACAATTCAGCGCGCGAAAGCAAACATTGCGTGTTTGTTGAAAAAGCTAGCTGATAAGTCTGATAAGCCAAAAATCTGGGTTGCCAAACGGGCTCTTAATGTACTAAAATAAGTTAAAATTCTAAATTGTGTCACTTAAACTTTTCAATCTATAACCTTTTAAAATTTTCTACTAATTCTTGACTGTATATAATAGACTTTTTAATTGAAATTTGATCCTATTGTTATCCTTAAAAGTTTTACCATTCTTTCAAATGATTTTTGCCCGAATGAAATGGAAGTTATATACTCCGTATATGTTGGGAAATTGAGCATTTCTACCCAAATAAGATGGACAATGTCGGTTCCTCACTGCTTGCAGTTAACACTCTTTTTTAAAACAATGAAACATACTCCGTACTAAACACGGTACGAAAGTTAACAGATTACAGAAATAGAATAATACATAAAATAAATGGCGAAATTAATGCCCATTTCATGCCCAATCTTACCTTCGGGCTTTACAACTTTATCAGTGCTTTACGATCCTCCATCTATAACCCGGATTCGTTGGAAGCGGCCTGCCGTAATCGCCGGGTCTCGCCGTCCCACTCGCCGGAAGCCACCATTTTCAGACATGTCTGTTTCGGTTCCTATCGCGGGTTCTATCCGGCGAGAGATCGATTCTGAACCGTTGCTAGGTTCTCGAAATGGTAAGTATGTTCAGTGCATATATAAATTTAAAGCATTAATCTCCATAAAAGCTGTGTCTTTATAAGATATGAGTTACTTTTCCGATTATTTGTGTATGTGGACAGTATTAATTCCCAACCTGATCCATCACTAGATAGTAAAGCTGGAACCAATGTTTGCTAGCTCAACGAACTATCAATCGATATGAAAAGTACAACTTACGAATCAATAAGTGGAGCTTAGCTAAGTTTATTTTAGAATAAATGGATGTTTCCGAATCAATTTTCTTGTGAAGTAAATTGGTTGTTAAAGACTTATAATTTTGAATGTAAAAATATGTAGACTTTAATTTTAATTGATATAGATATGTCATCAGGTTAACCATTAACTTGTTTTAGAATTTTATTAAACGTGAAGTAGTTTCACCCCATGTTTTGTTCAATGATTTCTTCGGAATATTTTTTCATATATAAATCTTAAAGATGTATATAATTGTGAAGGATAGATATGGACCTATGCCTTGGATATGTTTTTTGATTTGTTTATGTGCCTGAACGGTTACAGCTCCAGCAGCAGGCTGTCACACAGTCACACAGAAAGAAAAAACTAGCTAGCATTCTTTAAAATGTTGAGCATGCGTTTTTGGTTTTGTCATTTTTAGATCCTAGCTAATCGAACGATCTGATTGCATTTTTGATTGGATGTATGCTTTTTCCTGTAATAAAGGTGTAGGGGAGGGGGATAGGCTGACAACAGATTTGGAGCAAGCTACAAGTGCATCAAGTAAAGGCCACAAAAACAAGTACTCTACGAGCTCCATCCGCTGCTTCGGAGTTGACCTTACACCTGATAACATTGCAGTGGCTATGGTATATTTTGTTCAGGGTGTCTTAGGACTTTCAAGACTTGCTGTCAGCTTTTACTTGAAAGATGACCTGCATCTAGACCCTGCAGAGGTATGATGTCTGGAATTCTGGATATTCACAAACCCCATTATCATCATGATTTTTTAAAGCTGAATTTGTTACTAAGTTTACAATATTGTTAGACTAATATATCTTAAATTATGCAGAGTTAAATTCTTTATAAACTATCTAAAAATGAATTCCAACAAGGTTATCTAACATGCCATAAAACACATTACCTTGGTTATACTTTCTAACCAAAACAAACTTGAAATGCCCCAGGTCGGAGTGTTAAGTAACATGGAGGTATATGGTGAAAAGAATTGGAGGACTATTTATTGAAACTGGAAACTTATTGATAGTAACCCCCATGAAAAGCCGGCCATTAATAAATTCTGATGGACTGGACACTATATCATAAATGCTTTCAGAATTTAGAATTAAACAAGATTGCTAGAATAAAGTGTAATAGGGGGTGCTATGTAGCATTAGTAGTAATGTGTAAAAATGTGTTGAATACTTGAATGGGCTTCCTAAAATTGTGTGTCTAGTCAAAATGAGAAATAAAGTTATAAACTTTGTTAATCTAGTCAATAGATGAATATCTGATCTTAATAAAAGGACTGACAAAATCTTATATTGCTGACTAGACAGCAGTTATATCAGGATTTGCATCATTACCGTGGCTTGTAAAACCATTGTATGGATTTATCAGGTGATTTAGTTAAACTTGATGCTTCTTCCCTTAAAAATTGCTTTAAAAGTTAGCAAGTTCTCAAGTAAACTTTTTTCCTTGTAGCGATTATTTCCCTCTTTTTGGATACCGGAGAAGATCATATCTGGTTCTATCAGGGCTTCTTGGAACACTCTCCTGGAGTTTGATGTCAACCTTTGTTGACAGCAAGTATAGTGCTGCTTTTTGCATTCTTCTTGGATCTCTTTCAGTTGCTTTCTCTGACGTTGTAAGTTCCTTTTGTCACCTACTCACTTATTCAACCATATGAATTCAATCTAGATGCCACCACAACTACCTTTTTTTTTAAAGCAACTACCTATACCTAGCATGTTACCCATAGTAGTTTTAGGTGAACATATTATTTTTATTCAACCAGTAGGCTATTACTTGGCCATCATTCTCATGGCTGCAAAATTGTCATGTGTGGATTGAGTTAGTCCTATCTCACCCCAAATAGATCTTCAAAGGTCAATGGCGAATGCTCTACATACCCCCTCACACCAAGTTTATTCAAAAAAGCTAGGGGTGGGCAAATGAGTCCTCACTTCCATAAGGGATGCCCTAAACCAACCACGGATTAGGTGGACACTTTGCAAACCACTATTAAATTAGCATCTATTCATCATCATCATCATTACCCCAGTGCCGCAAAGGCTCCCATCTACGGTGGGGTAAGGGGGGGTCAGATGTACGCAGTCTTACCCATGCACTAAAGCACAAAGAGACTGTTTCCGAATGACCCATAGTGAAAATCGCGTCGAAAATTGCATAGACTGACTGTTACTTCATAAGAAAGAAGCGCAAACAGTTTAGTGAGTCATTTTGCTTTATTCCATCATATTTCAATCTTAAATTGAGTTAAATCGTTCTTCTACTTAATCGCAAGGTAAGTAGCAATTTGGAACAATTACTCGGTAGTACTCAGTGCTCATGTAGCCTTTTATTACTGTGTATATAAATACACACACACATTTATATTTATATTTATATCACATATTTTGAGTTTAAGTCCTATAATCCTATATATGTATGTATGCATAGAGAAAAAGAGTAATCATCAATAACTCACATTATTCATAAATCATCTAAAGAATTTCCTGTCAAATCACAGAATAGGAAAGAAACTGTAAAATTTATCCAGAAGTATTCAAAGCTTCAGACTTCATTAATGGTGGATTACAACTGAACATCAAGAAAGTAAGAACAGATAGTCAGATAGGACTCTTCGAGAGGTCCTGCTTCATCCTTGCGCCTCTTCCTTCCCAATACTTGACTGATTGCTGGGCCTTAAGCTTCGGTACCTGAATCTTTTTCCCTATGTACTTCACAGCAGAAAGTAACAGAAGCAAGGACATGGTGGTAATATGCTCCTCAATGTTGTAAAGGTTATAATATCCCAACACGAGGAATTGTCTTTACAACCAGAAATTGTTCGGTACCTGAATCTTTTTCCCTAAGTACTTGCTTTCGAACAATTTCTGGTTGTAAAGACAATTCCTCGTGGTACTCTCTATCTTGGGGACATCAATTACAGCAGCCTGAATAGTAAAATCCAGATTCACATTGGTTCCACCCCACTAGTATTCTGAATTAAAGCCAATAACATCACCACGATTCTTACAATTGTCAACAGCACCAATCTCTTTTATTTTATCAACTTTTTCCTCAACACTGCTACCAAGAGCAAAATTATCAGCCCATTTCAGTCCAAAATATGAGGAGTCCAAGCATAGAAGCATGACCATCTTGTGTTCATTTATATCCATTATGTTTGTTCGGAAACAGTCTCTCTCTCTGTGCTAAACAGGGGCAAGACTCCCTTTGTGGCACTGGGGTAACGATGATGATGATGTTTGTTCGAATTGAATGTCCAACAGAGACTACACCCGATGTGTCATATATCTTGTCATCTGTAGCCTTGATCCATTTACCAGCAATAGCCATCTGAAACCGATAGTCACAAACTGCACCCCCATCTGGAAGAAGTATACAGACTACTGGCGTTCCCCTAACATTTCCCTTATCATTCCCAGTAATTCCTACTCCCAACCCAATTCGAATATATTTCATAGAATTCACACCATCCATTTTGAAACCCTCAAACTGATTCAGCCCTCCCAAAATTCCCTTTGATGAATGATTGTGCAAAGATCTATTAGGACACCCAACTCCAGTTCATGAACTCTACCCATCACAGATTTAAAATGCTCTGGGTATTGGTCTAGTGCACTAGCATACCTTTGAACTTCATAGGTAAGGTTATCTGATTTGCACGCTTCGGACTCTTCTAGATTATCTGGTGAATCAACGTTTTCTGCCCCTTCCCGAATATCATCATTTGTCTCCATTTCTTGAACTGAAGGTGCAGACGGCGTAGGCTTCAACTCAGTGTTCAGAGTTGGCGGTGGAGTTCTCAGCAATGAAAGTTGTGCCTGGTGAGAGATGACTAGCGAAGATGAGTTGTGAGAGTCCGCGAGTGAGGAAGCCTGCGGTCTTGGAGAAACGGCTGGTGACGACACCTGCGAACAGTGCAATTCTGTTCTCGATTGCGTCGCACTCCGAAGCGAGTTCATAGCAGATGAGGACGCCTGCGAACTGAGACCAGCTGTTGCCGACCACTGCAAACTGAGTGAAGCAGTTCGCGAGTGCGAACTGGGAACTTCACATCTTGATCACGTCCTACGTGAACTGGTAGCCGATAATGAAGCCTGCGAACTGGGAGGAGAAACAGTTCGCGACGAAGCCAGAGAACTAGGAGGAGTTGCTCGAACTGGGAGACGCAGTTGACGACTACGATGAGCCATGTTTTCAGATAGCCGACGGCGTCTAGGGCTCCTCGCTCTCCTGCAATTCAGCTGATCGATAATGGTCCGCACATTGTTAACATTTTCTCGCATTTCTCTCTCCAATTTTTCAATTCGAATCTCCAATTTTTTTTTCTCACCAGAATCGGTGCTCTGATACCAAAGATAAGTAACTCACAGAATAGTAAAGAAACTGTAAAATCTATCCAGAAGTATGCAAAGCTTCAGAGTTCATTAATGGTGGATTACAACTGTAAATCAACAAAGTAAGAACAGATAGGACTCTTGGAGAGGCCCTGCTCTCCCAGTCTATTTCTAACTGACTAACAACCTACCTCTTTATTCCTCCCTTCCCGTCTTACATACACAATCTCTCTTCTTTGAAGCTTCTCACATTTAAATCTAGCTTTTTTAATGTTTTTATTTTTGGGTTAAAATATGTAGTTTAAGAAATTCTCAAAAACCTTTAAAAAGTGTTTTACTAAATTGAAGCTCTTAAGATATTTTTAATCCCACCATAGCCTAAATCTTATTATATTCCTTAAGATTTGTGCCAAGTAAACACACTCACCGGTCATGAAAACCAATGAGGTGGTTAACTCGTTTTTTTATACGAATTGAGTAGATAAAGTAGTTGACACGGTTATAGGATAGAATACCGAACTACGTGCCGATTAAAAAGCTTAGTACTAGATTCAAACCCAGTAGAAACCAATCTGAGATACTCTGAGAGTATGCATATGCCTAATAGAGTATTTGCAACAACCTTTTCATGGTACATCATAGTGTTGATGCAGAAAGTAATGAACAAAGCAAATGTGCTCAAATTCATTGAGGCCATCTCGCTGGCGTGATTTAATTGACATGCATATATCTTTTTTTAATGTTGTATTCTTTTTTTATGTTATTTTCAGATGTGATATCAATTTGAGTCTTGGTGTAGGTCGTAGACTCAATGGTTGTTGAGAGGGCACGAGGCGAGTCGCAAAGTATGTCTGGATCTCTCCAGTCATTATGTTGGGGTTCTTCAGCCTTTGGTGGAATTGTCAGTGCCTACTTTAGTGGTTCCCTGGTGGATGCCTATGGTGTGCGGTATGCTATATTGCTATGCCCTGTTTGTTGAGTGAAGCCATCTGACTATATATTCCCATTATGAATTTCCCTGCATTACTATACTTGCAGGTTTGTTTTTGGCTTGACAGCTTTGTTACCGCTGATTACTTCTGCAGTATCTGTCCTAGTAAATGAGCATCCTGTACGTGGCCCACTGAAGGGTCAGAATATTTCTCTAGACGATAGTTTCTTTAAGAGCTCAAAGAATAACATTATTCAGTTATGGGAAGCTGTTAAAGATCCCAATGTTTTTCTGCCGACAATCTTTATATTCCTTTGGCAGGCAACTCCACAGTCTGATTCTGCAATGTTTTATTTCACGTATGTGCTTCCTTGTAAATGTTTCTAAGTCATTTCTGTGGTTATGTTTCCAAAACCTTAAAAGGTGTTTTTTGTGATTCTTGTAGGACAAATAAACTTGGTTTCACTCCAGAGTTCCTGGGACGTGTCAAACTTGTCACTTCAATTGCATCACTTGTTGGTGTTGGGCTGTATAACGGTTTCTTAAAGAATGTCCCCTTAAGAAAGATATTTCTTGCAACAACTATTATTGGGACAACCCTTGGGATGACACAGGTCTGTGATAATAATTATTCTTTTTTGTTTGTACACGCTGTATTCTTCATTTCCCCCTTCTTTTGTTGGGTTGTCAGATCGATATATCAAGTTGAAAGGATGTTGTGTCAATTTTGTGCCACATAGGTACTCCTCGTAACTGGATTGAACCGACAGTTTGGCATTAGCGATGAGTGGTTTGCAATAGGGGATTCATTGATTATTACAGTCCTTGGCCAGGTGATTACATTTACATTTTAAAATATTTTCTTCTCGTGTGCTATACTGTGTATTTTCAAGAAATATTAAATTTGGTCTAACACATCTCATAATATCATATTGAGGAGAGGTTTAATTCACATTTATACTCAATACAACGCCTCATCCATCCCATCAGGCTTTGATATCACATACCGTAGTACTACTTATCATACCCCCCTGCCATTTTGTTTATCATGTTCACCAACCTAATTCACATTTCTTCCCTGATTTTGTATATCAAATTACTGCCATTGCAAGAATCTAGTTTTTGTGGTTCAATAATACTTTAAGTAATTCTAACTATAACTTCAAAAAAAAGTAATTCTAACTATTATTGCTCCACAAGGAAGATTTAACTTTAACTCGAGTCAAGCCTTGTATTCCAAAATAGGACATATAAGATGTTGAACATAATTTGCACTTATATACTAGATGACCGATGTGGTGTAGCCATCCATTTGTAGCTGCAACCATATGTGTTTGGTTTTTATTTGTCACCTATGTTTGTAAGCCAAACTGACCCTGCTTAATGTGTCCGCCTAGAACACATTGGTTCTGTGGTTCGTAACGACTGGTTCTTGCTTTCAGGCTTCTTTCATGCCGGTTCTTGTACTAGCTGCAAGAATATGTCCACAAGGAATGGAAGCAACTCTGTTCGCAACACTAATGTCAATATGTAATGGGGGAAGTGTCCTCGGGGGTCTCATTGGCGCCGGCCTAACCCAGATCTTCGGGGTGACCAGGGACAAGTTTGACAACCTGGCAGCTCTGATCATTCTTTGCAATCTCAGCTCATTGTTACCTTTACCATTGCTTGGTCTCCTGCCCAAAGACGAGCCTGAGTCAAATGAGAACACAGATATCGAGATGAAGTCCAATTGAGTTTCTTTCCCCTTTCCACGCATTTATCTCAGATGATACTTTTTGCTGCAGTTATAGTAATTACTTCGGGAGAGAATCAGTGTATATAGACTATGCAAATGTAAATATGGGAGAAAGACACATTGCTAATGGAAACCATTACTAACTTGTGGGGATAGAGGTAAACTTTAACATAATTTTAGAAAATGAGAGAATTTGATTATTCCTCGTTTTAGTTTGACTAGTTCTGAACAAAGAATCATATATCCATTAATGGTTCCTGCTAATTCCCATAACTGTTAGCAACTCACCATTAAGGAACTTGGATTTGAATCAGTCTCTAAGATTCTTTTTATGGAGTAACATTTGAATCGGATAACCCGGCAGCTAATGGTGTGAATCCGTCCTGCTTGTGGGAAACTTGTCACGTGGAGAAGTGATTGGTGCTCACATGGTGGCCCCTTTGATTTAACTACCATCAACAAGATTGTCGCCACATCTTACAACCCGTCGCCAGGCCACTTTGGAATTGGAATAGAATGGGAAGGGATTTTTAGGCTATCAATATAGTACTAATGCATCAATTTATATCATTAGTTGATGATATAGTATAATTGATGATTTTTTTTTTAACCCCCCACCTATATTTATATCATTAGTTTTAGGATGTGAAATATAAGTATGCCAAGACACCTAAGTGCAACACATGAATAAGAATTCAACATTGACTTGATATTTACTAGGTATTTCATAGGTAAAGCTATGGTTACATTCATGATAAACATACAATCGTTTAAAAAAATATAAATGATTTTAGAGGATATCCATCATTGTAAAATTTAAAGCACGTTACTTTGTGTTGAAGTGATACTTTTGAGTCGTTTTGACATTTCCCATTCCTTAACGAATAATATTATTATCAATCGTTTATTTCAATTTATAAGGGATAAACAAACTTACACCAATGCTTTCATGTAGATATCAAAGTACATTCTTGACATGATTTCAATGACAATGTACGCTACTACGCTATGTTGACCTTGAGCTATTTTTAGCTAACACGTTTATGATAATGTAATATTTGGTCGAGTTTGTTTGTCAAAGTATAATCATGTGCATATTGCACTTACATAGAGAATTCTTTCTCTCAATACTTTTCAATAATGGATTTTTTCTAATATTCATATTTCGACGAATCATATGACTACTAATAATTTGCATTTATTCATGTTAATTTGTCTGAGAATCTTTTTGGATATATGCAACCGATGAATTAATTTTCAACAAACTCGGGGTTTGATTTCAAAACAGACCCGAGTTTCCCATGACTCTCCATCTCAATTATGACTTTCAAGTATCTAAGATTTCTCATATTTGATTATTTGTACATATTATGTCTATATCTTCTACATAAAATGATACTTGGGAATTCAAAACATTTTGCTTTATAAATGTTCACGGTATGATCACTTATTCTATATCCCACTCAATCCAGTGATAACCTAGCTATATAGAGGATGTGTCACTTCTTTCTAGATTAATTTAATCCAAAAGTGAACAATTCAATATACTTGTAATATGTTACTTAGAATCACTTGATTTGAGACAGTAAAAACACAATAGATGCTTGATTCACATTAGGGATGTCAAAAAAACCTGACCCGCAATGACCCGCCCTGGCCCGAGACATTTGGGGCGGGTCCGCCCCGCCTATACAATGGGGCGGGTCCGGGTATTAGAATTGACCCGTTCCGTCCCGCCCGCCCCGCTCAATATATAAGTATACATACTTTTTCTTAAATTATACTACAAATACACTTCAACATACATATGTGTGTATACAATAAATCATAAATGCTTTGATTTTATAATATATCAATATATATTAGAATGAGATGAACGACGGATTATCAATGTCTTCTTTATATATAACATTTTAATACATATATTCAATTATTAATATAATTAAATAGATTAATTATTCAAGTCTGAGTCATTTTTCCTTAATTTTTGAATTTTTTAGCGTATCATGAATTTGATTTAATATATTAATTTTTAATTAGTATTTAGAGATAAACTTTATGTAAATTCAATTGTTCCCACAAATAAAAATACATACTAGCTAATCAGGTTACGGCGGGGCGGGGCGGGGCGGGTCATGGGTCAACAAGTTTGGACCCGTGCAGGGCACGGGGCAGGGCGGACCCGCCCCGCCAAGTCACGGGGCGAGTCTGGGTCTTGTAGTACCCGCCCCGCCCCGACCCATTGCCATGCCTAATTCACATCTTTAAAATGAGATTCTATAGAACTTATAGAACTTTTGATAATGTAACCACAATCTTTAACTGTGTCTTCATTACTTTTGAAGCTACTTAGAGACTAAGTAACTAAACATTTTGGTGTTCTTCATAATAGAGAAGCGTAACTTCTCATATTTGAATACAGGGCGTTGCGAAAATAATCAAAACCTCATTATCTCATTACGCTTTCTAACAAAAAATTATTTTATGTCCTACAAGCTTTACACTTGATATATTATCATCAGTATCACATACCAAATAGGAATAATCATGTTGACAGGGGCGGACCGTAGTACAGACCCAGGGGGGCTGCCGCCCCCCCAACAATTTTTTTTTTAGTATATATATACAAAATTTTTATTTTTACCCCCCCCCCCCAACATTTAATTCTCACCCCTCCAAGAAAAATTTTGACCCCCCCCCCCCAAAAAAAAAATATTTTCTCCCCCAAAGCATAGCCCACTCGCAGAAACCCAATTGTTTAAGAGCCTAAAAAAATAGAAATTTTAAGGGAGGGTGGATGGGATAACTTCTTAGAAATTGTTAAAGAGTTTTGCACAAAGCATGAAATTGAAGTTACTAATATGAAGTCTCCTTATGCGGTAAAAAGCAAATGCCATGATCAAGAAGGGTTTGATATTGAACGTCACTATCGGGTTGATATGTTTTACGCAGCCATAGATTCATAATTGTTGGAGCTGAATAGCAGATTCGGTGAACAGATAATGGATCTTCTTACTCTTAGTGGTGCTTTGGATCCTAAGGAGTCATATAAGTCTTTTAACATTGATGATATCTGTTCTTTAGTGGATAAATATTACCCCTATGATTTGATTGAGCAGGAGAAGGTGAGCTTGAGGTTTCGATTGCAACATTATAAGCTCAATGTTCTAAACCATCCAAAGTTGGCGAATTTTTCTACGATGAGTGAACTTTGTCAAAGATTAGCAGAGACGGAGATGTCAAAAGTGTACTTGCTTAGCTTGTTGATAAATTGATCAGACTTTTGTTGACTCTACCGGTTTCGACAGCAACAACCGAAAGGACTTTTTCCGCAATGAAAATTATAAAAAACAAGGCTTCGCAATAAAATGGAGGATGAGTATGTTGCAGACAACCTTATTGTTTATATTGAAAGAGATATTGCTAAAACTTTTGACTAAAAGCCGTTATTGAGGAATTTATCTCGTTGAAGAAGCGTTGGGTACAATTCTAAGGTACTAACTTTAACTATTTTGTAATAATATATTTGTCTCTTCTTCTATTATAATGCTTCATTTAATTACTACTCCGTATTATATTAAGGTTATAACTTATAATAATAATCGCCTAGTTTTTTTTGTTTAAATTATCGCCCCCCAATATCAATTTCTTGGGTCCGCCCCTGCATGTTGATAACGAGTTATAGAGAGAATAATGTTCATAATTTTATTATCAAATGTGCTATAAATAGGGAGAGTTTATGGTTTGTAAGGAAGGGCCAACTGACCCATAATATATAGTTTACATAAATGACCCAAATATAAATTATATATACACGATGACACACTAAATAAGATTTTGTTCAACACGTCTTTAATTTTCCTCTATTTTAACCCTCTCTACCCCCTTTTCTACTTTTATCCCCTTATTTGGTCCGTAATGTAACAATTTAAACATTTTAAACTCCTAATGCCGACTACAAGTGGTCTAGGGAGTCATTTTGACGTTTAAACATTATTTTTTTGTTCACGACTTTAAAAAAAATTATTTTATCTCCTTATTTATTTTTCAAATTTTTGGACAATACCCTCAACCATTTTAGTAAACACCACTTATTCTTAATTATTTTTCAACAAAAGAAAAGATTTGTTATAAGCTAATCTATAATTGATGGTTATCAATTTACAGTTTTAATTTGCCGAAAAAGATTTACTTTTCTCAAATGTGTGGAACTAAATCTTAATTGGGTTGTGACTTGTAAATATATGTTGTTGCCTGGCATACATCTTATATACTTTGTCTAGCTTATTCGATATGGGCAAGGGGAACAAGGGTATAGCGGAAATGTGCAAAAGTTTGACTATCGTAGAGTAAGATGGAAGTGTACGTTTTTTAAGTTTCTTTTAAGTGCATAGATAAGTATTAGTTTGGTAAATAAACCTTCAAATCCCTCTAACCTTCATATCATTTGAGCATTGCTTAAATGATATGCTGAAGGAGAAGATCACGAGTTGTGAAAAATATGCACGTTTCACCTTTAATTCAAGGTGACTCGAAGTCGAGACTTTCCATAGTGATGAAATTAAAGTGGGAGTACATCTAGTTGGATCACTCCTCTTTTCATTATTACTTGGATGTGTGAGTACTTAAAGAACAATAGGAAAGTAAATGAAGGAAGTCTTGTCTACGTGGAAAATTTTCTTTAAGCAAGTCATGAGACTTGATGTTTTTTAGCAACTAGGTTAGATTGGAGGGAACTTGAGAGATCTCATGGGATTACATCTGCAAATGTGGTGTTTTTATAGAGATACAGTAGTGCTCAGGTTTAGACTAAATGGTGAGCTAAAAAATACAGTAATATATTTGGCAGTTGTATATATATTATTATTGGTGAGCTAAATATGAATTATTATTTGTGATTAGAGAATAATAGATTGGTGAGCTAAATATGAATTATTATTTGTGATTAGAGAATATATACCGCCACCATCACTAAATGTCTCGACGTCTCGTTGAGAAATGTAATAGTTACCTATTTAAGGAATATAAATTATAAAACATGTATTCTCTATTCTTTTCACAAATCTTATCATACATTCTTTACTTTTTTTTACTTCATTTCATACACTAACACGAAGTTGAGAAAGTCCATTAGAACATAATTAATATTCAACTCTACACCCCATTAGACTTTTTGTCATATTGGAATTTGGAACATGGTTATGTCAAAAAATTCCCATGTTGAGATGCTGCGGGGTTGGAGGCACAGGAACGCATATGTGCTACAATCACGGATACAGTTTTCAGTTTCCCCAGGGTCCCACCTTATACCGAGTTTTTCCCAAATTTATTTGTAAAGTCAAGATTTTTTGATCAATCAATTTAAAGTTTAATCCTTCATATTTATATTTATTTCAATTTTTAATAATTAAAATTTACATATTCATAAACTACATTAAAATCTTTTCAAATTGCAAACTTCAAATAGAATATAATTAGAAATTGACATCCTAATTAAGTGAATAAAATGAAATTGTTTGACAAAAAAATCAATTTTGCTAATCAATTTGGGATGAAGGTATAAGTAATACGAAGTATATGCTCAATATTTCGTATTAGCATTCATTCTTCGTGCACATGTCGGGCTACACGTCTGTTATCGGTACATAAACAATGTTTTTTCGTTTTTGTAAATAGAATTGTTCGTGATCTCGAAAAAATCTATTGTCTTTGGCATAAACAATTCACTTTTTGAGATAACAGACAATCCTCTTTACAAAAATGAAAAAAATTGTCTATTGATACAAAAAGTTGGACGTATAACCTGGCATCTACAAAGAG